GTCTATGACGAAAGGGTTATATACTCTGTTAGATAAGATTTAAAATCGATGAACAATTTGAATGTTTAACTATATTTGGTTTTATTTTTTGGAGTATCTCATCAAGAAAATAGATGCTCGCTCATGTATACATATAATCAAAGATAAACGTTGTTTATTTCATAATTGGGACATTTAACCAATATTTAGTAGTGCACTAGTGTAGTTAGCTTTCTACATATCGTCAATAATAAAATAACAATGCAATGATCTTTCTTTTTTAAGTAAACCTTTTCATTTGTTCAATATTTTTCCAAATCATATCGAACTTATTACCCTGTCAATCAACTAAAATGACTATAAACAAAGAAACGTTTTGTAGGCTTGACAGACTATACGATTACTAAAAAAATGGCATAATATAATCTTAGTGAGTTAAGCAAAATGTTTACTTATAATTTTGCTGAACGTCACTGGTAACCTAAGTCTTCTTTATTATACGCTTTTAGTCATTCTTGATTTGTTTAGTCGACAAAAACTATAATATAGTTGTGCTTTATTTATCCAGTCAATTCTTTCTCAAATATTATTCTTATTTTTATCATTGTATTCCACGGAGATATAAACTAGTGTTCTCTTGTGACGGTGGAGAAAATTTGTGGCTCATGTGGATGATTGTGGTGGAGTTTCGTTCATGGAGCTAGATATTTTGGTTGTGGAGCTTTCGTTGTTTTTCTAAATAACATCATCAGCACAAACTTCAAATTGAAGTGAAGTATTTGAATTTCGCCACGTTTGACCCGTAGCTTGTTCTGTTAACCTCGATCTTGATTGGTTGCTATTGACCTTAAATTTGTCGTTGTCTGCACCTTTGTTTTAATTGTATTCCCCTTTGATGACTACAGTAGGAATAACCCAGGAACTCATAAAATGAACTGCGCACAAAAGTTGTTCAAGAGAGTGAAGACAATGCAGCACACATGAAGAACGGCTATCCACACAACTTCAGCAAAACATATCAATGGAAATCGTCGACAGAATCAAAATCAAGTGCAGGAATCAATAAACGGATAATTCTACCATACATAAAAGACATATCGGAAATCATATCACGACTAATGAGATCATTTGGAATAGGTGTAACACACAAACCAATAGAATCACTTTAATCAATCTTATGTAGACCAAAGGACAAAATGACAAAGGAAAAAACCAAATATTTTCTACAAAATAAATTGCTCAGATTGTGAAAAACACTACATAGGACAAAGTGGATGGCCTCTTCAGCTTCGTTTGCGTAAACGTCAATTAACAGTCAAACGCCATGACAACGCTTCGCTTATATCAGTACATACAGACAATTATGGACGTTTGGTTGGAACTATGTAGAAATACTGGATAGGGGGAGCACAAAGAACACTAAAGAATTTTTAGAAACTTGGCACTCTGGTCAATAATCAGCAATCAACAAACACTTCGACATTGATCCAGTTTATCAACCACTCAGAAAAATCATAGGCGACGTAGGATCAAGAAACAGATCAAAATGGGGATGCAATCAAGACAAATGTGTTAACAACGACAGGTTTAAGGTCAACAGCAACCAATCAAGGTAGAGGTTAACAGAAGAAGCTACGGATCAAACGTGGAGAAATTCGAATGCTTCACTTCAATCTGAAGTTTGTGCTGATGATGTTGTTCCAGAAGAACAATGAAAGCTCCATAACCAAAGCATGCAGCCCAGTGAACGAAACTGCACCAAAAGTTTTTTCTTGCTTTCTTGTATAAGAGAATATGAATTAGTTTATACCAGCTTTATGTCACGGTATTTTTAATCTAGAAATTTTTATCATCCAAAAGTCAGCCATATTAATAATCAGATGCATGATTATGAACTACAGGATTACAGTTAGGGATAATGAAGAATTCCACTTTGGTCAATTTTCAGTTTTTATATTTCTCTACTTAAATCTCGAATTGACTTGATGCTTTAATTTCTTTAAATTTCGCAAACGTCCTCATGAATTCAAAATTTCTACACGTACCGTAACAACTAATTAGGATTTTTTATTTTTTTACTACTGTTGTATTGTCTGAAATCCTCAAATTTTTATTGAATAAATTATTCTCAAGAAGTCTGTCGATTTCTTTTTAAATAATTTATTTTAAACACTCAAACAATTTAACATACTTTATATAAATTCAAGTTGATTGATGTAAAAAAAGTACAGTTATATTAAATTGGATGATTTGTAGAAATTAGTTTTAAAATAAAGTTAATCTTTGTGAAGAATTCATAACAGCTAGAGAAACACTGAAAATCATAGAGGAGACATTGGACAACAGGTTTGTTCCACTTTAAAGTTCGCCTCTAATAGTCGTTATAATTTAAATGTACCAGTCAAAACTGTCAATTTTAGAAAAAATTAACATTGAGGAAGAAATTATTAACGATATGAGTGATTTAGGCGGAAGTTTTTCAATCTCACGTTCGTTTCCAGCCTAAAGTGATACCAGTAGAGGAGTCATGAAAATTCTCTAGACATTAAATTGTTTCTCTTAGTTTAGGACTTTAAACAATGGTCATTCCAGATACATTGAACACATTGAACATTGTTCAATCCTTTAGATTCCTAATGATACTCTGTAACGAAAAGTTCATTATATATTTTTTTTAATTATCATTCAAAATTCAATGAACAATTTGAACGAATTTAAATATATTACGTTTTATTATAATTATTATTTTTTGGAGTAACTCATCAACAAAACAGATGCATGGCTTGTTAAAGAAAGTTCATGTTACCCAGAATATAAAGATATTTACACCAATAGCAATGATAACATATTCAGAGATTAGTCAATCTTAAAAATACAATATATTATTCATTTGCTTTTATTGGCATCAATATAATTTGCATAAATCTCTGATATGCAAAAATAACTTAGTGTATCATATTAAATATCACACTTTTTGGATTCAATCATTTAAAAAGTCAAACTACGATTCATAGTGTAATGTGTTTACGTCATAATGTATACGTAAGTATATATATATATATAGATGTGTACTAATCACATTGTATTAACAATGTCCAATATCTGTGTCAAATGTGATGCATGACATATTCATTCATACAGCTTGTAATAAGATTTGTCTATTTCTCAATAGGATAAACATTTAAGACCAATTGCATCTTATTAAATGGTTTTTTCTTACTGAATAAATATTTCGTCATTACATTTTCAAAATTAACAAAAAAAAACTATACATATCTTGGTCTGTATCATAAATGAATTTCATCAACTAAAAAAATTGATGATTGAACAATACAGATTGATATAATGAACTATAATTGACTGTATAAATTAAATAATTACTTTTTTATTATAATTATTCAATAAATTGATATATATTCATTTAGTATGAAAATGTTTTTCTGAAATTGCAAAAAAAAATTTTGGTAACGTTTACTTAATCAAAATTGACTGGTTTTCACATTATCTGTTGTACATAGTTGTTATCAGTTGATGTGTTTCGATTGAAAAACCAAATTAAAAATTATTTATTTATTTTTTTCATAAAATGTAGTTACTTTCGGTTTTTTTTCAATTCTCTCATCCTGTTTAAATTATTTTCTTAATTGTATGTATGAATGACCTCATAGGTTTTTAAACAAATTGTTTTAAAAATTTTAAAGAGGGCAATGAATATGCATAAAATTTATGATTTATTTAAGTAATTTGTAAAGATTTATTTTATTTGAATAGTGTTTTTCTCATTGTATAAAGAGTCATCACAGTAAATCTTTGATTGTAGTTCTTTTTAGGACAAATATATGTTATTTAAAAATTGTTATATTATTCGTTTGCGTTGTTTTATCTAAACTTAATAGTTTAATTGTAAAACTTTCATTATCATTGTGGATAACATTGGCACCACTTGCTGTTTAATGATATTCAAAACGCTAAATCAGTCTGTTCTGGTCAGGTTTTCCATGAATGGTTATCTTCGGCGGAGCTTTACCAGCTTTATGCATGCTTTTTTCTTTGTTTATTGTCATGTCCAGCTGACCTTCGGCCACATGGTTGGTTGTCATTTTCTGTAGAGAACTGTAAACAGCGCTCATGTTGACATACCTATTGATTGCAGATTGACCTAAATGCGATGCTTTAGGAAATGTTTGCCTGTATTTATTATCCTCATACACTGATATAAATGATACTTTGTAATATTATTGTCTTACTGTCATTTTATATTTGTGTATGTGATATGCTCGTCAATTTTTGTGCTTGAAACTGTTACGAGTTCACCTTACTCAGTGACATGATAAGCTGTTCTAATCTGTTTGTTCCAACACCAGCTAAATAAAGTAAGAAGTCTTGATCAAGAGTGAAGAATGTATTCTACAAGCACCCAGAAATAAAGAGGTTGCTAAGCACACAAATCAAGCTTATTTATACATTAATAGCAACATCCTTGGGAGAGCCACAAAATAGTGTACTAAAATCCACCCATCATCATCATTCATCAACCACTGACAGTCAAAAGTTTTCATCAAGTCCACAGGATAGTCATTTTCATTGAGGATTACAAGAAAGTGTATTTCTTCAATTCTTCGTGTAGTGAAGTTGCTTTAGTAAACAAGCTCATTTTGTACACTGTTGGATTGTTCCTATTGTAGTCTAATATTTAGTTTATGTGATCTGGTCTTCTGTTTACTTTTTTCTCCAATCATCCTGTGTCTGTCCTTCTGACTAATAAATATACCCTGTAAAGAAATTTTATTTACTGATTCTGTTGTAAATGTCACGTATTTAAAAAAATTATGAGTGTTTTGAAGTTGATCTCTATTGTGCATTGATGGTGCTTAGAATAACATTGAAAGCTGTAAAGTATCTATCATGGTCATGGTACTTTATTATGCCTGTCAAATGAATAATATTTATGAGTTGCTTTTTTTCTTCATATTGAAATTGGATTATCTTCATTCATTTTGTTGTTTTCGCTTTTAATTAAGGTTTGTCTTGCTGCACCAGAAACCATTTTCAGCCTAAAATTAATTGAACATGGATTTCCAAAAGAACGTTTAGCACTTTTCGGTGTTCTATTAATGCCAATACAAGCTATCCTACCATTATTGATAACACGTTGGACAAATGGACCAAAACCATTAGGAGTATTTATAATTGCTTTCTTACCAAGGTGAATTGAAATTTGTTTCTTTTTTCTTCATCTTCTGCTTAATTGTATACTTGTGAATGTGTTTGAGGTCAGAAAGATTATGACATATGTTTATTAATGCATATATGATAAATATTCAGATTAAATGTAGTTCAATCTGTGGAAATCAACTTATTGAGGCAACAAAAGATGGGATAATTGCAATTATTATCCACCTATACATTTATCCTTTCTTTGTATTTACTCAAGTGTTAGTTAAACGTCAACTATTTCTCTATGTAGCTTTATGTACACATGATATATTTACATCTTAACCTTTTAATCGTTCGTTGATAATGTAGTATTGACTTTTATCAACTGATATGCTTGATACTATTACGAGAGAGACATAAAAATAGCATACTAAAATAATACATCAACCAATGAAAGTCAAGGATTTTCCAAGCAGGAAATGTAATCTCAAGGTCATCTGAGCAGCTTATGCGCGGAAACGCAAAAAATCCAAAATTAAAACTTTTTCCGAGTGAGTTCTGAGGATCTAACGTCCCCCACATCATTAATAAATTATAATCTCTTTCGTTATTCATCAAGTAGTTTATGTTTGAAACTAGTAAACAGTATATATGTTTATTGTTTACAGGTTAACCTACACATGACTAACAAATTTTCGCTATCTTTATACCTCTTAAAGAATTTCCTGCAGTTATTTATAACGATCTGATATTCCATAAACCTTAAGATAAGATCAGAAATCCAAAAATCAGTAACTTAATAAATTTCCAATAGATATTTAGAAACGTGAATTCTTCTCATTGTTATTGTCGTAGAAAGCAGTCGATCGACGTCATTTAGAATATGTACGTCCTCATTAAATTATGAGCATTAATCAGGAACGTTTAATGGTGTCAGTATCGACATAATCCATTCAGGAAGCACAATGCCGAAAGAGACTGATTAATTACAGTAATTAATATCAACAACAAACAGACTTAAATCCTAATAAAATGAAGTAAAATTTATATATTTTTTCTCACAAACCCGTGGATATCTAGCTAAGTGAATAACTCATCTGGGGGTTTGAAGTGAAGGGCGACGGGTTTGAGATTTTGAGGTTAAGAGAAATTCGATTTTTCAAAGTAGCGAACTTGTAAAAAACCCAATGATTCTGAGAATACATTCATTTTTTTTCTTTGACTCTCAACAGTATATTTTGTTTGGATTCAGTGGATTTTAAATGATAACCTTAAACTTTTGTACAAGGATTCCTATGATATCATATGTCAATAGAAATTGCAAGCTTCAAAAAACTTAATCACCTCAATGGCTTTAGTGAATTAATCAGAAACTGTTAATAATCTCTCTACCAAAGCTGATTTTCATTGTGTCAAATTTTGTAAGTATGCAAACCTATCCTAAAATAGGGGCTTAGCAGTAAAAATATTTAGTATCACAGTTAATATGAATACAGTTTTTATGGTAACTTAAGTTTTAGCAATGCGGATTCGTAACATCAAATGAAAATTGATTACTCATGTTACAAATGATCAGTATCAGTAATACTGTCATATTATCCACCTATTATTATTACTATTATTATTGAAATTCCATACATCTGTATTATTGATTTTTCACTCGTCAATACTGAGCTAATACTTTTTTAATTTTTGATCTTATCATTTATTTTGTATCATAAATGTAGATGACAGCTTTTTTTAATCTAGTTGTGTTGCCTAAGATAGAACAGTGTTCTAAAATGCAAATTTCTCTAACGTCAATCGCATTTATCTTGTCAATGTTGAAGGGTTATTATATGTCAGTGGTCTGTTTATCTAGATCACTGAAATGTCATCCGCACTGGGAGAATTTCTTATTTGTTCCTGCTTTGAAAATAAAAACCAAATTTTTTCTCGAATCATAAAAATTCACAAAAGTCTTGTTGGACAATTTGTTTTGGTAACATAGAGGACTGACTGATTTTAGTAGTAGCTTCCAGAACATATCAGTTCATTCCATACATATGAGTCTCAGGTGATTGGTTAGTTTCACTACCTCCAATCTTTTCATCAGCATAATATTCAAGCTTATTTGTGTCTAAATCTTAGGAAAAACCAAACTTTATATCATTTTCATAGTTAAAATCAGGAACTAACTATAGCTAAACAGTTACTTGAAACTTTGAGGCATTAGATGTTTGTTTCATCCCACTGTACCCCCAGGCAGTGCACACTCATCACCTCCATCTTGGATTCGAACCCGTTTCAGTTGTGCGTTAGTGAAAGAAATTGATGAGAACAGTGCATTATCAGTAATTGGTTGAAGTTAGACGTGTACACGATTAGATATCGGTTCGGTAGTCGAGAGGCTTGACATTCCTGCGTGAGACCGAAGGTGCAGAGTCCGATCTCCTGTATTCGGGCTATAGCTGTAACTAATAAAGAGTCCATGCTAGAACGAAGCAGCCTTCCATTGCGTCCACGTTTTCGTTAGGGACTGAAACTTTGAAACTACTAAAATCGCAACAGATTCTCGTACACTAGGTAGATTATTGATCAGCCTTTTTTATAACTCAAAAAAAGTCACAAGATCAAAAGTAAAAATATCATTGTGTAATTTTCTTTCTCTTACTATTCAATTTCAGATTACTGGTGAGCTCTTTAACAATTCCTATTGTTTATTATACACCATACTTTAGAATTATTCCACTGAATCAAACACAAATTCATTTCATTCAGCTAAATCGAAGTGATTTCACTAATTCCATTGCGACAACAAATTCAACACAAAATTCTACAATCAATCCAGTTAAAGATATGACTTATTCATTTACTTGGTCATTTTATATATTTTTATTAAGTAAATTATTTATTTATTCAATTATATCAAGTATAATGATGGTTGTACAAGTAGCATTTCATGCTAAAATCAGTGATCCAGCTGTTGGTGGAACATATATGACCTTGTTGAATACAGTGTCTAATATAGGTAAGTAATCAATGATCAATTATGTATTATCATGTTTGATAGATTTTTATTATTATTATTATTATTATTATTATGACGATAATGATGATGATTATTGTTATACTTAATTTTGTTTCAATTGTACTATACTTTGAATGAGGATATTTAACCGCGCAAATCAGTTTGATGCCCTTAATAGTGGTTCCGATAGGTGTCCATTTAATTTGTAAGAATTTTAACGAATAGCGATTGGATACTAAGTTAATGTAAGACATTATGCAGGAAAATTACTTGTCAACATTTTAGTGATTGAACTTTGAGTAAATTCAACATTTAGCTCAACAATCGAGAAAATATAATCTTTCAAAAACATTTAAAAGAAAAATTTTATTACAAAGAAAAATTCACACATTTGGATAGATGTAATCCGATGTCAATTAAATCTGAACATTATCCTACATTTTACTTTATTGCTTTTCATTATACGTTTGTTTTACATTGAATTCATGAAGCAATCATTGTTAGATCAACGTTAGAAACTTGGAAGCACTCTATAGCTCTATAATGAATAGCATATAATGTAAGCACAAGTGACTAGCTTCGTGATGAAATTCTCGGGGTTCCAGGGAGAAGTCGTAACCAACGGAGCTCAACCCTGTTCCGGTATAGGGAGTTACCCACCGAAGAAAATGGGTGAGGTTGTGCGAAACCTTAGACTGATCAAACTTAAACAATAACACCGTTTGATGGCGGCTTAATGGTATACAGGTTAGCTGTTCACGCACGAGATCGAAGTTTCTGAGTTGGGTTCCCGCGAGCATGGTACGTGGATGCGCACTGCTAAAGAGTCCCTCACTAGAACGTAACAGCCGTTCAGTGCTTCTAGGTTGCTAATGAAGATTTCACAATGATTGATTCATGACTTCACTTATTATTATATGAATAACAATGTTTATTTTCATCTTTGTTCTAATCCATTAGTCTATTTAATTCTATAATAAACAAACAACTTGATCGACATAATAACAAAAAAACACATTTATTAGTTTATTTATCCTTATTTTATGCATGCTAATGACGTGTTAAATTCATATAATTTTTGTAAATTGTGTCTGTTTTATTCACCAAACAGTCAATGAATGCTTCTTGCATCAGAACTACATACACACACTTACGTATAGATATACATGCGACTGTTGTTTTAACACAATTTTCTCTATTCTTCACACCTAATTTCTCATGTACACTTAATAACAAATCTCATTGTCAACATTGTGAATTGTGATTGGACAACTTGTTTAGTCTACAGTTTTAAAACTGATGAATCATGTATTTATTTATTATATAATTTTAATGGTTAATTTGTATTTCTTTGAACAAAGTGTATGGACTAGATTGCTGAGCGAGTAGAAAAAAAGTCGATTTTACTTTAATTTCTCTCATTAATTTTCTTCCCGTTGTTAGTAACTTGATTTTTTCTTTAAATGAAGGATAAATCATACAAACCATTATGTTAATGGAGTATAGGATAATTGGTGTTTATCATTAATGAGTATTTTGTTAATGTTATTATTAATTGACGTTGATGTATTGTAATAGTTTAGTTTCAAACCAATAATTGTCTGACAATGATTGATTGATGATTTCCATGGGCAAAAAACACTAATCTCCATTACTGTAATTGAAAAATCGTAAAATGTGCTCATTAGTGACTGGCTTTGTGAGGAAATTCTCAGAGTTCTAGGGAGAAGACGTGACCAGTGGAGTTCAACCCTGTCGGGTATAGGCAGTAACTACCAGAGACAAATAGGTGAGGTCACCCAAAATCCGTAGATTGATCAGAGTTAGACATGAACGCCGTCGGATGCCGGCTCAGTGGTCCAGAGGTTAGGCGTTCGGGCGCAAGACCGAAGGTCCTGGGTTCGAATCCTGCGAGGTGCATGAGTCGTGAATGCGCACTGCTGATGAATCCTATATCAGGACGAAACGGCCGTCTAGTGCTTCCAGGTTTCTTCTAGTGGTGGTCTAACAATGATTGATTGATGATTTCAAATGTGTAAAAATCTGTTTCTTTTGTTCGGAAATTAAAAGAATTAACTTTGCACCATACATTTCAATTATATTCCTTTTTCGAACTATCACTGAACAGTGAGAACAAATGAAAACGGTTGAAACGAATATAAACTCGGAATTTTCTTACTGTTTTCTTACTTCCATCAATACAACAATTTTTTGTAAAGATATTGCCATCTTAATTGATGCTAACATATACTCATATTCATTTAGTATTGTATAGTCAATATTCTCTTGCTTTATTCAAACATTTCATAAGTAATCATCTGATAGACAAAATTCTATTATTTTAAACAATTTTCTAATAGTAATAATGATAATATCGTTTTCTTAAACTGTTCACACCCATGTATGTGTATGTAACGCTATTCATTGTTTGAATTACTGCTCAATTATTTCTGACCATTAGCAAACTAGGTACCGTTTATTTGTTTGTTTTAAATAAACACTAAGATAATAATTCACATGTATGTAATATATATATATATATATATATATATATATATATATATATATCATAAATCTAACATGAAACAGTTCTGCTGAAGCAAAATAATTAGGTCACGTTTGGATAGCATAGGTGGTTTCATTATTTCCCTCAAAATATAACTCGGAAATGAAAATTATTTTCAATGAAAACAATATTGGGCAGGTCAGTGTACATGATAAAACAAAGTCAGTCATTAAATTTAACTGGGCAAATATTTATAGATGGAATGAAGTAAATAATCAGTGTTTACTCTCAGTATCTAAGGTACTTGTTTCGACTATCGCTTGCATCATCGTAGGTGCACACTACTGAGGAGCCCTATACTGGAACGAAATGATAGTTCAGTGTTTCCAAATTTTTTGATGCGGGTCTAAAACTGACTGGTGTATGGTTTCAAAGAAACTTAACAATCTCCACAACTTCATACCTAATTAATTTGACATAATTCGTTAGCTGTTTATATATTTCATTAAGGGTACTATTAGAAATATCATTGAAACTCTTATTTTCTTCTAAATTTCGATATTTCAACAAATTTACATCTATAATTCGGCGAAAATCACAACAAAAATGTCTTTCCATCAAACATTTTACTTGTGAGAAATAAGATGTCAACTCAGTAACTAGGTGTTTCCAGTCCTAGGTAATAAATACATAGATATGACATATCAAGTAGTATTTTAGTTACTAAAACTCATCTATAATAGATTCGAGTAATAATTCTTATAAATTCGCACATTTTTGACAATTTAAATGAAGCTTGTGTAAACCAAGAACCATGAGCACTATTCTTATGCTGTAAATCTTCCTACGTGTGCATGTAATTGTCGAATTCGATAGAGTTATATTTTATAAATATACTTTAGTGTATACAGCATGTATGTATAAAGGGATTTAGTTCATTCTCGAATAGCGATTATTAGTACATTCTGTATTTCTGAACCTATTCAATGAGATGCTATGATATAATCGAGGGCGAAAGTGTTCGCGAATCGATTTGATTTAGGTATACAAAAACGACGAAATTGACAGCGGTTACCAAAAATCAATAATGAGATAATCATGATGGTGATGATGACAGTCATGATACTACTAATAATGATAATCGTAAGTGTAGAGTGTATAACAAAAAAAGGAGTAGTTAGATGTTTAAATTAATAAATAGTAAAACATTTTATTGAATAATCTTCAGTCAGTACGACTAATTATAATAACTACGAATTACAAACGAAACTATGGTTAAAATAAAGAAAAAAATGTTATTATTGTCAAATTAAGATAAGGTCAAAACTATTTGAAAGAAGAAACAAATGAATGGTTATTAAAACTGTGAATCAGTCACCATGATTGTTCCAGGTAGACCACAAGTTCAACTTACACACATAAGTAGGGTTTTAGGCGATGAAAAGCCTCTGCGTCTGTTTAACGTAAATGTCTGCCTTTATTCTGTCTGTTTACTATTCGGAAAACGGTACCGAAAACTACTGGATGACCGGTGTAAAATATGTAATCCTATTGCACTGTTAAATAGTTTGGAGCCATTTCACACTAAATTTCTTGACATATGTTAAGATATTCTCCGAGAGAATATCCTGTATGCTCTTTCATTTCACGTGTTACTGCGTACATGAGTGAATAGTTAGTTAAAATTGCGGGTAGATAAAAGAGATCTATTAGAGGATTTCAAATCCAGTCGTCATCGTTTTTCATTATTATCAAGTCTAAGAAATCTACTCCTTTTGAACTTCACTCTAGGATACGAATTTTATATTTGAGTGAGCCAAACTGAAAATCCAAGCAACTGATTCGAGTGGTCTCCTTTATCAGCTTCAACTTATGTCAGATACATTGATGTTTGTTTATCATGTGCTTTTCTAGTTGTGCTCGTAAAATATCAGCGACAGTTAGACTTGGTGAACTACGCATTATGACAGCCTCTGTTTGAAAATACATGCCGACAGACTGAAACTACTTTATTTTTACATGTAACGGATATAGTTCTTTTAGGAAAACACTCCTGTCAGACTGACCGCATATAATTTCAATAAAATCTCTTCAAGTTAGAACGGTAAATAAAGGAAAATTGTCTATAAAAAAAGAATCATATTCTTTTTGGTTTAAGTTGATCAGTTCTATGTAACACAAAATTAAAAATGTCTTTTAATATGTTTTGTACAGACAGTACTACTTTTGTTCCTTACAGACTCAGTTATTTAGTCAAACCATTAGGGAAATCTTTTAGTGCAAAAAAGTAACTATTCATTACTAGGATGGTTCGCAGAGGATCGATAATTTTATGAGCTTTTATTAGAC